TGCTGATGTGACCTTGGGTCAGTCACAAGCTCTGGCACAGCTGTCCTTGAAAAAGAGCAGTTTGTGTCAGAGTTCTCTCAGCCCCACCTACCTCACAGGGTGTCTGTTGTGGGGAGGGGAAGGGAAAGGAGTTTGTAAGCCGCTCTGAGACACCTTTGGGTAGTGAAGGGCGGGGGATAAATCCAATCTCTTCTTCTTCTTCTTCTTCTTCATCTCATTGGTGGTGCTCTTTCTCCTTCCTTCCCGAATAATTTTAATGACAATGAAGGGATATTGTGCAAGACTCAATAATTTTATTCTTACAGTCCAACAAGTACAAACACACAGCATACCATTAAAGCTGAATATACAAAATAATGATACATGAACAGTGGCGCACTAAGTGAATATAATATGCTTACCAAAGTTACTTTACAGCAATAGATTGTATATCAGATCTCAAGTGTTTAAAATTATTTGAAGATGGCACAACAGGCTGCTTTAGCCTCTGAACAGTATCCTTTCCACAAATATCTGAGCCAGAAATTATCACTGCAAAACAAACCTGCAGAGATGTCTTCAGAAGAAGAAGCCTGGAAATATATTTGTACATGCTCAAGTAAATCATCAAGCTACTCATTAAGTTTTACATTCTTAAAAACTCCAGACATAGATAGCAAGCGATATCTGGTGGCACTAAAAAGCAGCTACCCCACTGCAAGAGTTTCACAGCCTATGAAATCATAAATAATTTACCCAGGATTAAAGACCTGTCTACTAGGAATTTGCACTCTGTTCAGTAAAGCATAAAAAAGTTGCTGCTGTTACTTCAGGAGATTACAGGCAGCCACACTTTAAAATCCAAATGGATGACCCCAGAGTGTACAGCATGAGTGCCACAAACAACACAGGTAGGATAATCTGAAGCAGGCCTGGACATTCTGTGGCAGGGAAACCAGACCTGCACTTTTTTTTTTTGCCATCTGACTTATGGCAACTCTATGGAGTTTTCAAGGCAAGAGACGTTCAGAGGTGGTTCGTCATTGCCTGCCTGAGTATCATGACCACAGTATTCACTGGTGGTCTCCCATCCAAATACTGACTGGGGCTGACCCTGCTTAGCTTCCAAGATTGGGCAAGCCATGCTATCCAGGTCAGGGCTGCCTGCTAATAGTACAGTAAATTAGGGGCACATCAACCCCAAAGTGCAAAGGATGGACAGGATGCATACGTTCCGCAGTGTGCACACAAAGTGGCATTTTAATATACTTTGGACTTGTGGCATGTGTGTCAAGAAGTCTGTACATCACCAGTGCATAAACACTGGATGAAGGGGGCCGGTAGAACTCTTAGGAGAAAAACTCAACATTGAAAGAAATCAGCAATTGCACAATGCCACAATCAATGCAATGTAACAAGTATTTCAGGCCGCTGTGGTGCCAAATGTCATGACCTAGTAAAACGCACACACTACAGGAACAAAACACTAAGTCTTCTTGACAAAGAAAGAGCATCTCCCAAGATTCACCACTTCAGATATTGTCTCTGGCTGAATTTTAGAACAGCACAGGAGCTCTGTTCACAAGTCACAGCGAATGCACATACAATCCACGCGCAGTGTATGCTTTATTTTTCTGTTACATTAAACACAGGGACAACTGAACATGTGACTGAAACTGCACATTTATCCAGGCACTGGTTCCTGGTTTGTAAAATGAATACATGTTGGCTCTTTCTTACAAGCAAGTGCATATACATGCATATGCAGGATTTCTGTGTATTCACTGTAACATGCAAACAGGGCTAGTGATATTACTTGAAAGCGGTACTTATCCATATAAGTACTCTACAAAATTGCTGCCTCGTTTTTAAAAAAGGGCTTACTTCATGTTCTTGGGCCATTCACACACTGTTATTAGCATACCAGTAGCTTGTCCTCCTGGCCATAGATTTTAAGTGTGCTAATTAATATTGAATGCAAATGGCACTGAACTCACAGCAAGTATTGAAAATGAAATGACAGCGACAAGGGCCAAATGGGACAGTGCTTTCAACATTGCATTAACTTGTTTAAGTTGTACTTTAAGTTGCTGTACACACTCAAGGTTTAAAGCAACTTGCCTTCTCTTTTCAGCTAAGGGTAATGTAGTCTTTTTGGCATATAATTTTATTGTGTCACAGTGTGCTGTACCAATAAGAAAATATTACTGTCACGACAGCAAGTTTTTAGAGATCCCTCAAGTAAAAATCAAACATACACACAAAGAAAATGAAATTAAAAACTGTCAGGAAAGCTGTACGAGTCCATAACATTTAACAGAAACACACAGTAAAGTCAGTGTTCTTTCTTTGTTCAAAGAAAGGGGTGCTATCATCCCACTGAGGTGAACTACTACACAAGAACATTTCTTTTTCCTCCTCTCAAAGTATATGTCTGCTAAAAGTACTGATTTCATGACAAGCAAGAGATCAAAATAATGTCCCTGGCACTGCCCAGCAGAAGCCACTGAATGAGGGTTTTCTACATAAAACATTCACCATAAAATTTGAGTGTAACCTAGAACAAATGGGCTGTGACACTTCTTGATGGTATTATCTGTGCTGCCTTGCGAGCCGTAAATATGCAGCACTAACACCTTGCAAGTGGGAACTGGAACCCTTGTCCATTCTGAACAGTGTAAATGACACAGACACATAACATACAATCTGTACACCATGTGACAACCTATATGGCTAGATTGCTTCAGCAGAAAAATCGGAAAGCACTTCAGCTGAATGAAATACTTTGTTCCTCTTTGGTATTAATGGAGGATGCATTTAGAAGTTTAACTTACACAGAGGCTGGGGAAGCCTTGATAAGGGCTATAGAATACCCTGGCTCAGCTAGCCTGGGTAGTGATTGTGAGGGGCTCCTGCACCCACTGTCCCAGTATGAGCCTTGCCTTTCCTAAAACAATGAACAATTATTACATGAAACATGTTTACCTAACTGGATGAAGACAGCTAAAACAGTTCATACACACATTTAAAATGTGTATTATTTAAAATGCAGTCATAGTAATTTTTTATAGACTTGATACTTTTTTTAAAAAAAAGTCAAACACTTTTTTTTAAAAAAAGTCAAACTTTGAGACATGGATCTAAATATTGGCCTATAAATCACACAGGCATTAATAAGGTCTAATTTTTGTCCCCATGGAAACAAATACAATACAGTATTAAAAAGAAGATTGCTTCTCTCCTTCTAGAATGGCAGGAATAATAAAAAAATTCATTACTGAGGTAAATTTTTAAAAAATTCCTAATATTTAATTTCTAGTACATTCAACATGCAAATATGAGGCTCAAAACTTTGTGGCTCAGAACAGCAGCTGCAAGTAGCTTATAAAAATGTTGCTCTCTCATATATCAATCTGAATCAATCAGAAATGCCTACATCTTAAGCACAGTTAGACTTGCTAAAATGCTTTCTCAAATTGCCTTTTGACAAACTAAAAGGTCAGCAGAGGTTCATCATCAGCTTCAGTGGAATGTGGATTTGAATATAACACTTTATTTGATCAACAGATGTGAATGCAAGTTTTTGACATTTACCAAGAGACTGGTTAGGCAAGCAAATGTGCACAGTGAAGAAGCACACATTACCCACTTACCAGAGCCGAAAGTGAATGCTTTCTTGTAGAATAATGTAGCACATATACAAAGGAAAGTAAGGTGATAAGCCTATGTAGCACAAGCAGCAGCATATTAGATAATTTTTAATTTAGTACTGTACGTTAAGATACACTAAATACAAAGATTAACTTAATTAAACAACTAATGGCATTAATGCAAAGAATAATTCAAAACATGTTGATGGTCAGTGTTTGTCAATTGATTTGATGTTTGAAATTTATAAGGAAAAGATTACATAAAACTTTTAAAATAAGGATATCTCACAGTGGAGGTGAGAAACCTCCTCTCATCCCACACTGAAACCAACATTCAAGATGAGTAATTTTAATTTACGTCATATACACATGCATATAAACACAGCCACATACGTATTAGGGATTATTCAGCTTTCAATGCAGTGCAAATTCACCCTTTCTGGGGCAGTATGAAAAAACCTCTTAATTTCAGTGAGTTGCTTGCAAGCAGAAGCTCAAAATGAAGAGGCCAACATAACAAAGACTTCAAAAAAAGTGTCATTTTCCTGAAGCACTCCTCAACATTTTCTATTAATAGCTTTGCATGAGAAAATAATGTCATACACACCACTCATCCTTGCAGGAAGTAGACATTTTACTCCAATTGCAAGCATTTATAGAAGTTACTACTATGCATTTTACATGCCTTCTGCCCACCTGTGTTTATGCTAGTCATGTGTAACCTTCAAAGAACCCAGCTTAGGTGAAGATTCAACATAAGCAGCCGGAGAGCAGTTATTTACAAGTTTGCCTTACTTCACAAAGGAGAGAAACCATATCACACACATAGAAAGAATACTGATTTTAATTAAGGTATTTAATTAGTCCAAAAGGACAAACAAACTAGTCCATTCCGGACTGAGAAGGGAGCCAGTACTTTCACCACAACCCAAAAATTTAATGTAGTAGCAAGTATTCCACCTTAGGCTATTGGATGTTCCTCCAGTCTACAAGAAACCTTCCTCCAGTGGCCAAGCCATTTAAAGCAGATTGGCAGGATACATGCCAGTCTATTTGGTGAACTGCTCTTGCTAGGAAAAAGGATGTAATTCAAGTCATGGTCTATATCAGTGGTGGCGAACCTATGGCACGGGTGCCAGAGGTGGCACTCAGAGCCCTCTCTGTGGGCACGCGTGCCATCGCCCCAGCCAGGCCCAGACCATCATTAAAGTGTCAAATTCTCTGCCAAATAATTTTAAGTAAATGAAAGCATTTGGGATTGCTTTCCTTACTTTGTTTGGATCATCTTAAGTTAATGTATGAGTTGTTTTTTCTAAAGTAAAACCTCAGTATTCAGGTTAAATTGCCGTGTTGGCACTTTGCGATAAAGAAGTGGGTTTTGGGTCACAGCTTGGGCACTCGGTCTCTAAAAGGTTCGCCATCACTGGTCTATATATTTCCGGACAGCTCTCATGGGTGATCTGTTTTGTACTTGAAAATGAAATTAAATAACAGCTTTGTCACTTTATTTCTACTACCCTGAAGGATTTTGGCAAAATGCATACAACTGCATCTGCATTATCTTCACATTACCCACAGAAGATAAAAGAGGCTAAAAGGACAACATTTGAGTGAAAGAGGAACACCTAACAAGGATTACTGACAGGTGCAGCCACTAGGCTGGCTACTTGCAAACTGCAAAGGCTGTTCACTTCTGGCCCAGAAGCTGTTTGAGCACAAGCTCAGGTGTAGCAGGTCCTACTGTGTCTTCCATGGAGTCTAACACAGCTTTTTTATCCAGCTGTCTACCCCATTACAGTTCAACAGCTGAGGCCCAAAACTTGCTGCTGCTTCTTGAAGAGATAGAGACATTTGTTTGGGGAAAGGTGAGGAAGCTGGTACTGTCTAAATTAGCTGATTGTTGTAGCTTTTTTTCAGAAGCTTTCCTTCAGATGTCTGCTAGATGCAAAAAGCGCTGCTGGTAGCGTCACAGTGAGGCCAAACTGACAAAAATTATAGGTAATTCCATTTTAAAAAATGAATATAAATATGAAACAAAATTAGAGGGCGAAATATACTGGAGACTGACATTTGTAGCTATTCCAGGTAGCATACCTAAAACTTCTCTCCCTTGTGCACTAAGAAAAGAAAAGTGGAAAATTCTACAACCCTCCCCCTTCTATGTGGTCATAAGGATACTTTTACCTGTATAACACCAATATACAGCTCTTCATCATTTAACAATCTAGTTTGTATTGCATCTAAATTAAGGAAATGAATTATTTTTCCATATACAGATCTACTAGTGCATGACAAGACTATACAGTAAAGTGTTTTCAGCCATGAGCTTACCAGAGTGCTTTTCTGATCCTGTAAGTACAAAATATTCATCTTTAACTGTCACACACAACCACCTACATTTAATACGTAATGAATTCTGAGGTAAGCAAGCACTCGCATTTTGTTAGGAACTGGGTTCCACTGGCTACCCTGTTTTATACATGTAGGATTGGATTCAAAGGAGTGTTTCTGTGCATGGAAAGATTTCTGTCTATGGAGGATAACTTTTTTTGCCTAAACAGCATTTTGGGTTGCAACAGGAGGTGAGTGAGATGTGTGCTGTGGTCAGAAATCCTTCCACTCATGAAAATGCTCTGCTGGAACCAAGCTGTTGGATTGGATCCCACAACCAGAAGTGGTGCGTACCCTCCCCTACAGCCCATTAAAAGCTGATGATGGGTGCTGGGAGAGCTTTGAAGACAAAACACCACGTGGCACAAGGGCCACTATGGAGGAAAAGAATCTGATGAAATCAGTCCACTATCATCTTCTGCACTGGAGCTCTTCCACCTGTTGGAAGGGCCACTGGTGAAAATGAGTTGGGGCCAGTTTCAACCAAATTTCTTGTCCTTCTGCAGCCTCCTGTGGTATTTTGCCTACAAGGCTCTTCCCTCCCACCCATCAAGTTATTGCAATCAAAAGGGTGCTGCTGGAAAAAGATGGGAAAGATCTGTGAGATTATACTTGTAGTTCATTAGAATCAAGAAACCTAATTCCTCTATGCGCAACTACTATGGGATATACGTGACTTAGAAAGTACAGATTGGACAGAACAGTAGTGCCCCATTACAAGTGAAATATCAAGTGATTACAATATAGCCTTTCAGAAAAAACAGTCAAATGACCAAGTAGTAAAATGTATTTTCAAATGTTGAGCTCTCAGTCTCAAATAGTGTGACTATCTGGAAGCAAAAACAAATTTCTGACCTGAACACATCTTGAGTAACAGCAACCCAGCCTTTGGCATTGTTATCTTTAAAAAACCTGTGTTAAACACTCAAAGATGTATCCAGTACACTAGTTATTCCTGATTGTTTGCATTTGGTTGTTTTGTATATAGTAAGCTGAACATGCAACATCTTTCATAGTTCCTTGATAAGGCAACATTTACTATGAGTAACTCAACTTTTCAGCAATTGTACTAGCAATTCAAAAGATATCTTGCAAAAATCTGCAAAGCTAAGATATTCAGCACATTTTCATTCACTGCAGAGAAATCATCATGTAATTTTGTCTGCCAAATTCAGACAGTTACATGACACTAGACCACAGATATTTTCGAAGTACACTGAGGTCATTTAGTTGCGCCACTTAAAACGTCAGCATCTCTTCAGCTATTAAACATTCCCTAGAATTCAAGTAGAACAATTCAGGATATTCTATTGGGTTTAAACTTGCAAAGTGCTGTTCTTCAGCGTGAGGCACATGCAGCTCCAATACCAAGAAGAGACCCTTTTCCATGTTCAGGTGCATTGAAGTGATCTTCCTCATTCAGCTTTACTATTCTGAAATCTTCTCTAACCTTTTCCAACAGATCTGGTTTGAAAATAACATCCAACGCAGTCATCGCCAAAGCTTTAGCTGTCCGCAAGGCATAGAACTGTGCTTCTTCTGACCCTAAGATAAATTAAAACCCACAAGCAAAAACAAAAATGGATAAAACTGCTACCATAAAGATGCAGCAAATCCCCCCAAAAAACAACTATCGTGTTTCCCCGAAAATAAGACACTGTCTTATATTTATTTTTTCTCAAGAAGACACACTAGGGCCTATACCACGAATGCATAGAAATCCTGCTAGGGCTTATTTTTGGGGTAGGTCTTATTTTCGGGGAAACAGGGTACGTAGGAAGATGGCACCCTTTGTTCCCAAAACATTTCAAGTTGAAATCATTAAGGGAAATTCCTTTGTGAATCCATTCAGAATTGCAGTTCAGCTGTATAGTATCAGTCAGTCATGTAAGAAAAGTTGGATTTATACCTTCACTTGGTGTCTCAGTGCGGTTTACATTCTCCTTCCTTTCCTCTCCCCACAACAGACACCCTGGGAGGTAGGTGGGGCTGAGAGAGCCCTGACAGAACTGCTCGAGAGAACAGCTGAGAACTGTGACTGACCCGAGGCCACCCAGCTGGCTGCATGTGCAGAAGTGGGGGGGAAACCTAGTTCTCTAGAGCCCGCCACTCTTAACCACTACACCAAACTTCCATCTGTACACCAAATTGGCATTACACCAAACTGGCATTACTTTGGTCCAAGTAAGCCATTTCAGTCAGTTATCAGAATCAGTTTTTTAGCCATGAGTATTGTCTGCCTTACTCAGAACTAGTAAGCACATTTAAGAAGCAAGTATGACTGTACAGTTGTTCCACAATTCTGAAGAAATTTATAGAAGGGTGAGTTTCCCTCATTACAAAGTTGAGTTCAAGATGCTCTGGAATTAAGGATACTTTATTCCCCCTACACATGTGTAAGTTTTTCCAACTATACTAAAATACTACTAGCAATAGTCATTTAAATTAAATTTTTAATAGTCTGAATACCAAATTTCATAACATCCAACTTTATTACTGCTGCTGGTAATCAAAGGCGCAATTTGCCACTTGTACTCAACAAGCAGCCAAGCTGTAAATTATACAAGGGAACATCCATGAGTAGTTTAGAAGAACTACAGGAATGTAGGTAAGAGACATGAATTCTTCAAAAATAGGGCTTTTCTTGTGCCATTTAAAGCACTAAAAGTAAATCAAGAGTTCCCTGTGAATGGAGCACACATTTATACCTAGATGCATTCATTACTATAGTAATATGTCACAGAACCATGTCACACAGCATCGCTCAGGAGGACATTTCTATGAAGGTAATAAGACTATACTATCACAGAATGGTTCAGAAAGGCACTTTTATAAAGAGAAAAGGACTATGTACCACTGGGTGTTGTATGTATCCTGCTCTTCCTGCATTGCTTTCTACTTTTTAAAATACTTTCTGTATCATACTTGATACTCCTTTGCACTGTTTCTAGTTTTTGTAATCCTATTGCATTAGTTATTAGATCTCCCCTGCTATTTGACTGCATTGTTTTACACTGCATAATCCACCTTGAGTCTCAGTGAAATAGGCAGACCGCAACTCAAATAATTAAATAGAAGTTGCATGATTAATTCTCCTCACTGATCAGGAAGTTCATACATATGACTAACTATTCAAAAAATTACTACAAGAAATCACTTGGATTGCCATCTGAATTGCCTCTGTGTGATGCACCCTGTGATATAGCCCCCCTCCTGACCCGGAGAAAGGGAAACTCACTAGAGGTGTCATGGGCTCTTTCTTTATCAGATCCCTAATGCACATCAATTAACCACATCTTTCAAAAGAAAGACAATTTATTTTACAAAAGAACAAATATTAGTACTTACGAGAATCCAAAACAGAAAACTTAAAAAAGAACCCAGCCACTTAAACTATCTCACTTTGTCTTTAAAAGCAGGTTCTTGCTCCCGAGAAAGTCTCAGACAGGAGGGTAACAAAACTTTCAATCTTGCCAGCTGCAAAACAATTTCACCTCCTGATAGTCTGGTTCAGCCACAGGAGAATCCTCCATCGTCAAAAGAGATGAAGATTAAAAGACTAGCCTTCTACTAATTTATCCACTATCTCCCCACTAACGTGCTAACAATTTAATAAACGTGACCTTTTCCAGTCAACATGCAAAGACTTCATCCTTAACAAACATCACCTGTTAACAGTTGGTCAAATTAACCAGCACAAAGGGCTGTTATCTTTCTCTTAACAGTAATGGAGTTTTAAAGAGGAAAATACAACTACAACTGAGCATCACACTCTGTAACTACAATTTCTAGCCATTTTCTTTAACAATGTGTGAACAAATTCCAGACTCCCACAGTCTACTGGAAAGTGGCTAGAGTACCAGTTTGGATGCCAAAAACCCAGGTTCAAAAACATTTGCTAAGTAACTCCCCCCTTAACCTAAACTACTTCACAGGGTTATTGTGAGACTAAGACATACTAACCTAAGCATATTAACCAGGAGTTTATTTTTGTGTAAATGTGCTTAAGATTGCATTGTAAAACAATACCAAACTCCTTGAAGGACAGGATCCACGTTTGATCTGTAAAAAGCACCCGTATATTTCTGAATAAGAACAGCTTACTTCCACTAACCTGCAGCAGCTGTGTACTGCTCAGTATGGTTCAGTGCATTTGACCCAATGTAAAAATAGGGATGAATCCCAGGAATCACAAAGGTAACATTTCCAAAATCAGTAGAACCTAAGAAGAAGAAGAAGAAGAGATTGGATTTATACCCTGCCCTTCACTACCCCAAAGGTGTCTCAGAGCGGCTTACAAACTCCTTTCCCTCCCCACAACAGATACCCTGTGAGGTAGGTGGGGCTGAGAGAGCTCTTGACAGAAACTGCTCTTTTTCAAGGACAGCTCTTATCAGAACTAAGGCTTGCCCAAGGTCAAGGTCATCCAGCCAGGTGCAAGTGGAGGCGTGGAGAATCAAACCCAGTTCTCCCAGATTAGAGTTCACGCACTTAACCACTACACCAAACTGGCTCTCTGTTTGGTGTAGAAGAGACAAAACCTGTGAGAATTAAACGTACAGTGAAAACAAATGCCCTGGATAGTTTACTAAAGGTACAAGTTATACAGTTACTACACAGTTGGTGTAGTGGTTAGACTAGGGTCTGAGAAAACCAGGTTTGAGTCCCCACTCTGCCACAGAAATCTGTGGAGTAACCTTGGGCCAGCCACACACACTCAGTCTACCACGTTGATGTGAGGATAAAATAAAGAATGATATAAGCCATGTTGGGTCCCCATGGGGGGAAAAGCAGGGTATATGTAATCAAATACATTTTGCACCAATAAATTTAGATTATGTGTCAAAAACATTTGTGGTTGGAATTGTGCAAATTCAACACGATTATATTATATTTGCATTTATTCCATTCCATTTACAAATAAAAGTTCTGGAAAAAAATTCTGTAAGAAGGGAATGAAAGAAGAGAGTAATAGTGATGCACATGGCAGGCAGCAATAGCTACAGATGAAGAGAAGAACCTGCATTAGACAGTAGCTCTACTCCCTAGCCATGGAATATATGACAAGAGTCCATAATAAGAGTAGAAAAAATAACAGATTTGTTTAAAGCACAAAAGAAAAGTGTCAGGCTTAGCAAAGAAACATTAGAAAAATTGGGTGTAAAAGGCTACTTACATGCATTTTGCACAGCCAACTTAATTCATTCCACTGCACAACTGGGAGGAAAAAGGACGTAACTAAAACTGATTTAGGGGTGAAAGCTATACTTTTAAAGCAGAGATAATTTGCAAAGAGGAGGGACCCAAGTTCTGATTTTCTATTTAATGGCTTACATTGAATTAAGTGTTAACATAAAGAAATGAGCTCCAAGCTTTTTTTTGCCCCCCGAAGGGGATTTTTTTTATCGCTTTTGTATAAACTACAAAGAAAATAGGAAAGGGAATCTAATATCTACAGGAGAAAGGAAAGTTAACCACTAAAACCCCAAGTAGTGAAGATCATTACATAAGCTTATAAAATGATTAATCTAATCTATTATTAATACAATGTTCTTGAATGTTTAAATCTAGCCAATATTCCCCCCAACCCAATCTCAATTACTGTTTAAGGCAATCACAAAAGAATCAAACTTAAATGTAGCTTCTTAAAGGTGGAATTCAGAGTTCCTCTGCATCTCATTTCTTAGCATTTCTTTTCCTCAAATCATAATCTCTTTTGGGGGCCGCAGCCCCCAACTCTGAATCAGAGTCCTCCTCAGTAGCTGAAGAAGAGTTTTCACTGCTTTCTTTATCCTGGTCTTCATCTTCTCCGGACCTTCCCAGTTGCTGCTTCAAGAACTCATTTGCTTTC